CTGACTTTGCCCGGTTTTATAAGGAGAAATAGTACTTTCTGTGGGATCAGCTGGTAGGACTGAAAAAAATGGGCATGCTCCTGAGATCAGAGTTTGGCAATCAGTTCTGAAAATTGTATTTTTAAATCCAGTGGAGTGTTGTCACGGTTCTAATACACTCGTTACTTAAGCTTTACCACCTGAAGGCTGAGCAAAAGAGCTGCTTAACACAGTCCTCTGAGTCTTCACACCTTTGATTTTACTCTAAAACGTTTCGATATTCCAACTAAAATATGGAGCATCACGTTTCTTGCTGTTATTACTCCTTTTAGGGGGGATAGGATTAAAAATCCTATTTTTGCATATGCAAAAATGATGAAATACAATGTAGGCAAATCCAGCCATTTAACAGTGTGTTGATAAAAGTTACTTTATCCTTTGGGCACAGAGGATTTGGTAATATCTGTACATTCAGATGCCGATAGGACTCATTTGGCTGCTTCTGTTGACTCACAAAACCAGGATGCCAGGAAGGGAATAACTGAGAGGGGGCAGTGAGGCTTCTGGTTTGTCTCTTCTCCAGGTATCAGTTTTAATTCCTTGTTTATATTTGGCACTATCAGCCTGGATTTCGTTTCCTTGCCTTAGCTGGCAGTTACCCCTTGTTCTTGAGCTTTTTGTCTGTAATTTGTTCCCACAAATGTACGGCGACGTTTAGTGTTTCAGCCTCCTCTGTGCACTGATGGCACATTGACTCTCACTGGTTCTGTGCTTGGGGGAGGGTGGTTTGGAACAGAAGGCATGGACATGTTCAGACTGGGACCTGTTCAGAGGTGCTGTGGGACACACCAGCTCTCCGAGAGCGCAAGCCGAGAAAGACACTGCATCTTCCTCCCGGTGCCCAGCCTGTCTCTACCACATGTTCATGTTTGCTCTGGGTCTCATTTCGAACCCCGCCCTGCTTTCAGAACTGCTCTCTGGTCCCTGAATGTTCAGGACCATATATATATCTGTGTGTGTGTGTGTGTGTGTATTTACACTCTTTCAGTGTGTGATGGCAGTTATATGTATTTCATCACATTTCCATCATTGATTCCTGCTGTCATCCCAGGTCTTCCCAGCAGCTGCCCACATTAACCTTTCAGAAGAATGGGTTGTCTCTGAACATGCAGGAAAACCGGTTGCCTTGGACAGCTCAAGAATTGCTGTGGCTCTCATGTGCTCTTAAGAATTCTCTCAAATCCCTCCAGTAGCTGATTCCATGGAATCCCTGACAATAAACCACCCACCCCCTTGGCTCAGCCCGGTCGGAAGCTACCCTTGGCTCGGCCAGTTGCCATGAATGGCTCAATCCTGTTCTGTATTTACCTTGAGGATGTTATTTATCATTGATCCCCATTCTCAGTGATGTCTTCCACGTGCACTCAGCCGCTTTTCTGCAGAAAATTAATAATACTTGAGTCCTAATTCTTGGGGGGCTCCCCTGGCAGCCGTGTGCTCTGCCCGTGCCCCTGGCCAGCACCAAACAGGCTCTCCAGCCCCTCAAGGATCAAGTTGAAAATGCCTGTCCATAAAAACTGGCTCAGAGATGGCAAAAGCATCTGAAAGAGTAGCTCAGCTCAGTTTCTGTAAAATCTGATCTCTCAGGGTCAAATGTACATGGTGGAGTTGATGTTCTGCCTCCTTGGCAGGAACCTGGCAGGAACCACTCTGGGGAATTCCTCCCGTTATCCTGGGAATGTTGAGGGAATCAACTGAGCGGGTGGAGCATGGGTGCTGGAGGAGGGGGAAGGGGAGTTGTGGGAGCAGGGATGGAGACAAACACCAGATTCTTCCTCCCACGTCCATCTTTGAGTTCTGCCTTTCACTACAGCTGCTGATGCCAAACAGCTCCGTATTTACGGAATGCGGAATCCCCCAATGATTCCGTGGGTTCTGACACCCTTCCCATGGCCCTGCTGGGGATGGACCCACGCTGCAGCGGGTGCCTTTGTGTTTCCATCTTGCAGTCCCTGTTATCCACCATGTTGGGATGTTTTCAGCTCTGCTCACATCTGATGTAAATGCAGAGCAGTGCTACTGGAAACGTTTGGGGCCGGGTTTGTCCCACAAGGCCTCGGCCTGACCTTCTCTGAGACGTTTCACATGTTTCCCATTTTCTGACCATTTGCCATGGAGGGAAAAAGGAAATTTTTTTATTTTTATGAACGAGATTTTATTCAAATAATAAATAGCAACCTATTAACCCAGCATGCTTTAATGCTCCGAATCTGAATCTAAAGACTAGAGAGAGCACAAACATACCATTAAAAAAGCGTGTGCGGCTCTTCCTCCTGCCCAGCCTCTCCCCCATCGCGCACGCAAGCTGTCTCTTTAATAATGCAAAGGAGCAGTAAATTTCAAGCTGAGGATGGGCAATAACAAGGAGAGTTATTTCCACAATGCCCCAGTGTCAGCCCCTGGCTTAGGCGCACACCTTATTAGTTCTAACAGGCTGGTTAGCATCGGGTCACCTCTGCGGCTCCGCTCCCCGCAGGGTCACCCGGCTCCAGGCGGCATTTGGGGAGGGGGAAGGGAGCCGAGATTTAGAGATTCTCTTCTCACCCGGCATTTTTAGCACTGGTTATTTTTATTTACACAAACCCCTCCTCGCCTTTTACGCTTTGCCTTTCTCTTGCCCCCTCTCCCACCCAAGACCTGTGTAAATCCTGGTGCTGGGCAGACCCCTCCCCACTGAGCGCAGATAAAGGGACATCTCAGAATGGGGTGTTCCTCTGCTTCTCTTCAGAAGGGAAATAATTCAAATTAATCAGCCTGGGTGTGTGTATGGACAAATAACAACATCCATAAGCCATTGTTGATGAAAGCAAGACCAAGGTGGTTGCACTCTCAATTAAACATGATGGTAATGTGCCCAAAATGAACACGTGTGTTTCTGTATGTGAGGGGGCGATGCTAAACCCCTCCCTCACCTTTTAGGGGCCATAGGAATTGTCTGTAGGATGCTTTTTTAAAGCTAACCCAGAGATGTGTTAAAATGAATGTTCCTTTTATTCCTAACTGGAACGTAGGAGAAGCTGCCCATTATGGAAATGCACCCGCGGTTGTGGCCCTCTCCCAGCCCCCTCCCCCACCCGCCAGTTCCCATCCAAAAATGAATGCAAAGAAATACTATTAGGCTGTCTGGTTATGTATTTTTTATGAGGCCATACAAGACACTGCCTGACCTCGTCCAGCTCGTGTTATAACCACATTGAAGATGCTTTTCATTTGGGTTCTGCTTTTCAGCCTGGGTGACCTCTATTAAATAAAAAAAAAAAGAAAAAAATGGCCTAATATGTGACCCCTGGGACGAGTCGCTTCAAGGATTACATTTAATTCATATGATAATATTGAAATATAATGTTTCTGTGTCTAATGTTTTGGATGTTTTTCTTTCTTCTTTATTTCAGGGACCCTTTGAGTCTTGTCAAAGCTTTTTTTTCTTTTTTTTTTTTTTAGGGAGGGGAGGACAAATAACTTATTCTTGGGGGACAGATTCTTAAAAATCACATTTTGTCCCTAGGAAAGCCAGCATGAACACAGCAGCCTGCTCTCCCCCTTGCTTTGAAGGAGAAGAGGAGAAACAAAGGCAGGGAAATTATTTTTTATAAGAAAGCTTGTCTGGCTCGTCAAAATCCAGCCCCACGCTTTGTTTTGGCGTTTGCTTACCCAATTGATAAGGAGTGACCTGCTTTCCTGGACGGGGGGGCTCAGGCAGACCCCCCTCTACCTCCTTCCTTGCCTCCAGCTCCCATTGTCTGCCTTGGCCCCGCCGCTCCCTCGCTCCCCACGCACACGGAGGGACCGCCCGGACCCACCGCTCGGCTCCCCGTGATGGAGCATCCCAGCATTTCTGAGAGACAACACATATTTCAGGGCTTTATAACTTCTCCATAAAAGTGTATTCCGGGATGAAACACGACTCGCGACGGTTCAGCTTAGGAGCAAATTTGCTTTTGCCAATTGCAAAAATAAATTTGACCCTTCCTAAATATTCCGCGTGCGAAAAACATTTAATAAAGTACATTTTGTCCCCCGGTCCTCGTGCTAAAATCACATTGCGAGGTGTATGGGGGAATTCAACCATCAGTCAGCAGTCGGAGCCGAGACCTTGCACTGGGAAGCAACGAAGCCCTTAATCATTCCCAGTAATGACATGTTTGGAAAAAAGTGCCACATGTGTGCACCATGTATTTTCAGCAAACATCTAATGCGAGGGTGTGAAGCAGTGGCTGCGGTGCAGGGTGTGCTTGTGCAAGGGCTTCCCTCCTCCTCCTCCTCCTTCTCCTCCTCAGAGCAGGCTGCTCCAGCCTGGCTGTGCTGCCCCACTCACAAAAGCCGTGTCCTTGGAACAATAGGCCTGTGCTCCTGGAGCCCTGTCCCGGCACACTGCAGTGCCGTTTCCGTGACGTTGGCAAGGGGATACACAACCCTGTTTATTTATTTTTTTTCCTTTTTCCCCACTGTGACTGGAGCTGTGAAATAGTAACGTTAATTTGTGCAAAAAATACCCCTCGAATACCACTCGTGTTGCAATGAACTAGTCCAGGTCGGTGCCGTGTGGTTATGGCTGACCCTTGGTCCCCGGTGTCGCGGCGCTCTCGGCGCGCCCCATAAAACCTCGTGCTGCTGGGCTGGGGACACTGGGGGCAGGTGAGGGCTGAGCACTGGGGACACTCGGAGCAGGTGAGGGCTCAGAACTCCCAGCCCCATTGCGTTTATTCGTGTCACAGGCTGAACCTCGACAGTTTTTGGCAAAAACCTAATTAGCGCCAGGTCCGGCGCCCGCCTTATGTGTATGTGTGCACGACGTTTTGTGTAGGATATTAAAAAAATATCCAGGCTTTGGGTTGCCTTTTGTAAGGCATGGAGCTGTGACCCTCCCTCCGCTGCTCCCTCCCCCCGGAGCCCCAGACTTCGCCGTGCCCTGGCTGCGAGCTTACATGGAGTTGTCTTTTTTATTTTTTTTATAAACCCAGTCACAACACGGGAAGAGGAGGAGGAGGAGGAGGAAGAGAGAGAAAGACAGAACTAAAAACCCTTGAAGGATGGCTCTCCAAAATTCCTGGCGGAACCACGGGGAATCCCTGGGAGCGCGGGAGCAGAGGTAAGGCAGCCTGCGCCCACCCTCCTCCCGGCCCCCCGCGCCCTCGCTTTTGGGTGGGAGCGCGGCTGTGGGGAGCGGGAGGGAAGGTGAGCTGGGTGGTGGGAGGTGGGTGGTGGGTGGGTGGAGGAGACACCTTCGCCTCGCGCTGCTTAAGTGGGCGCGGCGCTGATGTGAATATGCAAATGGGCGGCCGGGCGCGTCACACGTGCGGCTGCTCCCCCTCCCCTCCCTCCCCTCCTCACTTCCTCCCTCCCCACGCGGGGCTCGGGGGAGCGCAGGGGGACGTGGGGACATGGGGGGCACAGACCCCGTCCCGTCTGTCCTGTCCTGCCCGTCCCGTCACACAGTGGGAACGGCAGAGGTGCGAGGCCGGTATCGGAGCGGGGTGGACACGGACACTCAGGGAATGGACCGACGGGGGTGGCTGGTGCTCCCCGTACTGCTGATTGATGTCGGGGCCAACAGGACCCCGCTTTCTGGCGATGATGGTGATGGTGATTGCGATGATTACTCTCATCATTAGCGGGAGTTTGAATTTTGCAATGGTCAGGGCTGGGCAGGGGTGTGACCCCTGTGCCCGGGAACTTAAGGAAAGAAAAGACAGGATTTGGAAAATGATTAATTTATGCACTAGAGGGGTCAAGTTACAAAGGTTTCCACACGGCCCCGTTTTTATTGCAAGTACACGCCGAGATCGGCAAAAAGATGGGAAAGGCGTTTTTGTTATTAAAGGAAAATCCTTTATTGGAGGGATGGTTTAGAAATTTACAGTCAATGGAATTTAATTTTATCCTTTGCCTTTTGCTTTATCCACATTTTAATAAAAGAACCACGAAGAATAAGAGTGGCCGGGTGATTGCTGAACAAAGCAGATCTCGGGTGTGAATAGGATTTAAAACCGGTGCCTGCGCTCCCCGCGCCTCGCGGGGCCACGGCAGCACCCCCGGCTGTGCAGCAGGGCTGGGGACGCTGCCCGTGACATGGCACACATGGTAATGCAAGGTCAAGATTTCATATTTAGTAGGACAAACTTAGTAGTACGTTTTTCTTCCCCTCCGTTTGCCTGCCTGGTGATTTGCGTACACCTGATCAAGTCTTAGGTTTATACTTGGTTATTCCAGGGAGAGAGAGCGATTTCCAGGGGAGTGGAGCACTGCTGGGGATGTCTGCCAGCACCCCGAGGTGGGAATGACCACATGTGGGTCTGCACAACATCACTGGCTTTAATTCACTGGGAAAAAAAATAAATGCAAAGCAAGTCCATTAGTTTTTCTTAGGTATTACCAGGGACTTTAAAAGGATTTACTAATAGGATAACTGTATTCACTAGATTGATAAATAAATAGAAAATCCCTAATTCTCGTGAGGGGTGGGGCTGGAGGAAGCAGATGAAAGTGACTCGTGGGTGAGTGAATCAAACCCCCACACTGGAATTGCCTGATTGATCCTACTGTGGTGCACTCAGAGGCAGAGGCGGGAACAGGTGAGACCCCGGTTACAGCAGGATAAACCACCCGCCCGTGTGCCCTGCTCTGCCAAACTGTGCCCGGTGTCCCACCTCCCCGTGGCTGTGCCACCCAATGCCACGCTGGCCTTCAGCTCTCAGACAGCCCAGCTTGGCAGTGTTGGGTTTTCTCCCATTATCCAGTGGGCCGGTCCCGGGTGCCCGTGTGTGTCTGGCTGCACACTGGGGGCACCCAGCACTACTACCTCGTGCCAGGGCCCCGCTCCCAGGGGAGTGTGGCTGTGAGGGGCAGCCCGGGAGCCCTCAGCACAGGCCCAGGCGGGGCTGTCTGGGGCGTTGGTGCCCCGGCCCTGCACACCTGTCCCCGTGTGCACACACGGCCTCCCGCCTGCTCCGCCGTGCCAATAAAGAAGAAAGGCAGGGATGAGGATTGTTGCTATTGATCTGCCCAAGGGGATCATTAGGCATCAGTATCAATCTACAAATCAGTGGGCCTGTGTTACTTGCTTGGGCAGTCATTGCCAATTTGTTCCTATTAGATGGCCGAGCCCGGAGGTGTTTGATGAGCAGATTGGGTCTTTATCTCGGCGCTGGAGAGCAGCGGGTGTGGGAGACGCCAGAGCTTTGCAGGATTTCTGCTGTTTGTTTGTTTTCTTCTGCTGAAATCCGTCTGCCTTTTCAGTGCTCTGTACAGAATTTTGTAGGGGCTGAATGCGTTTCTGCTTTATGGATGGTTTTTCATATCATCAGATTAAACGTATTGAAAGTTAAGGAGAAACTATTTTAAAATAATCCCCTCTCTTTTATTCAGTCTGTTTACCAGCAGCACTCCCTATAAAATACATATTCATGCCAGATTCTTTTGTTATCCTTTCCAGGTCAGACCCAACATTAGGAACGCAAACAATTTTGCTTTTGCTATCCCAGTGCCCGTTCCTCAGGATTTATTGAGATGCTCTTAGTGAAGTGATTGTTCTCACAATAGTTTCCTCTGCAATTTAATTAATTAAGCCAAAAAATTAAAGCTTGCAGATAATATTTTATTTGAAAGTGTTTTTACGTTTATGTTGTGGAACAGCAGCCCCGGGGGTCAGCAGCCCCTTGGACCCAGCCCTGCTCTGTCTTTCAGAGCTGCCTCCCTCATCTGCATATTTGCAAATAAGAAAAATGTTTAATACTATGCAAAATGAACAACAAATCTAGACCGTAACAGGAGAATGGAAATTAATGGCAAAAAAAAGGATCAAACCAGTTCACACGAATGCTCTGATCCGACATCAATGCCGTGTTATTTAATGCAAACCTCGATTCCGGCTGTTCCATCTCACTCCTGACACGAACATCGCGCAGTTTAAACATCTGTCCAGCCGTTAAAGACCCTATTGATGCTGCGTTATTGGATTTCTAATTTCCAGGTTTTGTCAGGGGGTTTAACAGACTATATGAGTGTTTATAATTTCTAATGAGTTTAATCTCTAATTTGCTTCTATTACCTGGGACTGTCAAATCCCTTTCCCAGCACTTGCTCTGTAAAATTTCAAAATACAGAAATGCAGGTTTCTAAAGAACCCAAAATATTTGTCATATCTTTTATATACAAATATGTGTGCAGTAAACAGAACTATACATTCTTATTCTCTTTGAAGATCAAGCCTGATTTTAATCCTGCCTATCTGCTGCAATCACAATATATTACCTAAACCCAAGTTTCTTTGAGGACTTTTTGGATAGATGTCATTATTTCAATGGAGATAAAATAGGGTGTGTTTTAGGATACTGCATTATTGCTGCCTGATTAGTATTTGATCAAATCCTATCTGTTTTTTTGTCCCTGAGACAATCCAGCTCCTCCACATCCGGAGGCGAATTCGCCTCATTCTGTCTGACAAGTGTTTTGTTGGGGAGCAGCGGCTCAGATCCGTGTAAACACGCGGCCGGGGCGGGGAGCGCCGACTTTTAATTTATCATAAACTCCATAGAACTCATTAGCTTTCATCTTTACATCGCACGGGGAGAAATGAGTGCGGAGCGCACTTGGGGAGCCTTTTTTTCCGTGGAGTTTGCTGTACAAATATTTATGGACCTTTCCCTTTGTAGTAGAGATTCCAGTGGCAACAGCTATCACACGATGAACAGCAGCCTGCGACTCAGGGAAGAGGTTGCCAAAAGCTGTTGTTTATTTAGCCGCCTGGCATTTTGTCTTGAAATTTATTTTGCTACTATTTGTTAAAATACGCTGCTCTCCTGGGAGGAGAAATCGGGATTTTTTGCCTACACTCCAGAAAAAAAAAAAAAAAAAAAAAAGGGAAAAAAGCCTCCCAGAAAATGAAATCTAAGTGTGTTTGTTTGTATGAACATAACTTTATAATCAGCATATTCTGAGGATTTTCAGAGCAGCAGGCTGCTCGCTGTCCATTCACAAAACACACATATGGAGATTTTATGGTGGGTTTTGTTTTAAAGATAATGATTTGTCTCCGTGTTGCAGTTGTTTATGTTTCTGTCTATATCTCTTTCCTCTCCCCTGTTTTATTTAGTAAGGTTTCAGCTGTGAAATTTCTCCATGAAACAATTGATACATTCTCCGCACGCTGCGGCGAGGGGAAAAAAGCCCCTTAGATTAATGGTCAGTGTCTCATCCACACAAATTTGTGTTACGATACTACCGAGAAGCTGCGAATTACTGACAAGATCTAGAATAATTCCTAATGCTGTCGAAGGCTTCATTTTCTCCTCCGCATGATGGATGAGGCATAAGAAGTGCTTTCTGAGATCGTTAATGTGCATCATTCTGTTAAGTGTTATTAAAGTCCGTCTGTCTTCGGCAGCAGAAACAATGGCTTAGCCCTTATTTTGCCTCTCTCTTTGCTAAACTCCAACTGGCTTTTACTAATGTGGCCTATTTTGGGGCTCTTTTCATGGCTGGTTTGTACCACGGCGTTCGGTGGGTTTCGGGTTGTGTTTTCCCTTTGAGTTAAATTTTGGCTTGTGGCATGGGGAAGGCACAGCTCATTCCCAGTGATTCCATCTGTAATCTGTAGATAATATTCAAGCTATGGAGGATCTGTCCCAAAGCTTCTGTTTAAGCTTGGAAAATAGGATTGAACTTTCCCTTGGAAGGCTGCTCCTGAGGAAAGGAGCCGGCGTGTCCGTACAGCCCTGCCCGCTACAAGTGACTGCTCCTCCGGGCTGGGAAACAACCTCGGGAGCGTGTGCCGCTCATTTCCCCTGTATTAATTGTCTAAAAATCTGGGAATTGCTGTCCGAGAACAGAGTGAGTGAGTCTCTTGATGGGAGGGAAGTTGGCACAGGGCGCCCCAAACTCGTCCTACTGGGGCAGAAATCGCTGCCTGTCCCTGTCCCGTGGGCATCGATCGCCCCGTTCCCCGAGGGGGAGGAGGCCGGGCCCGCTTGCACATGGATTGTATTAAATCAAAAGTACTTTTAACCAAACAGAAGAATTCACTTTAAAGGTTTTTAACCTTTCTTAAGAGCCAATTTTTCCTTAAGCTCTGTGATAATAAAATACAATATAATTTATAGAGCGCTCTCCGCGGGTATGCATTCCTCCTCTCTGCTTTTTTTTTTTTTGTACAGTCAGATAAAACATCCAACAACTGGGATGATAATCAAGAAAAAACAAAAAGCAACTGATCATAAAGCATTTAGAAATGTAACATTCTTTTTACAAGGGATTCAGACATCCTTGGGAAGCCTCACTTCTATACTTTTAATAGAATTAGAGAAGTGTGATGCACAGCTGGTAAAAGCTCAGTCATCCACAGCACAGCGAGTTTTTGAGTATTTAATTTTATATTTGAATAATTCTCCAGATCAGGCTATAATCATGGATGTCATATAAAAAGATTTTTTTCATAAATTACATTATTTCACAGATGTGCAAATACTTCTGTGAAAAAAATTACATTGATCAGTTTTTAATACCCCCCTGTCTCACCCTTCAGTCAAAAGAAAAAATAGCTTTTTTCCCATCTTTGTCTTCAGAAAGGTGCTAGATCGTAAACATCTGAAGGAAATGAAAGGGGGTTGGCCAGTCCACCCCAAATTCTTTCCAGATTTTCATTCCTTTCACCAGCAGCCTTATGTTCTTGGAGGAGAGGGAGGAACAGCAGAAGAAAGAGAGAAAAGATGTCTCTGTTTCTTATTAAAATTTAAAGTGCAAAGCAGGGCTGTATTCTGCTAATTTTCAATGTGCTAATTGGGAAGGGCTTAGGAGGCGAGGGGACACGGGGACATGGGGGACAGACCCCACCTGTGACATGTCCCTGGCACAGGAGAGGGCAGGCACTGGGCACAGCAAGAGGGCTTTTACTCACTGGACTTGTAATCCGAAATTAGAACATTGTGTTTATTTTTCTAATTAAACAGTGACTCATTTACCAAGAATAAACTTCCCGACAGGGTCTGTGCTCTGCCCGGCCGGGCTCAGACCGTCCCTTATTGTCCCAGTATCCTCTGGGGTGGGAGAGGGAGGTCCCTGGGGCTGCCTGGGCACAGATGCCAGGCACCAGAACCACCGGGTCCTTCCAGCTCCCGGGGATTTTGCTTTTTATCTGCTCAAAACATATAAAACACTTCATCGAGGCACAGGGAATTATGCAGCACGTTGTCACATGCAGAGTACCTGGTTATCTTGGATATTGTTGTGAGTGAAAAAGTTTGCCCTAATGTTAGATTCAGGGATGGCAGTTAAGATAAATGCCAATTTCCCAACTCTCTCATCCCATCTTCTATAAAGTTACACTTTTAGGGGAAAGAAAGGCCAAAAAATAAGTTTATAAAAGTAAACTGAGGTGTCCCACCCTGCCTGCTTGGGCTTCAATTGGAGTTGCCAGCTTGTTTTTCAGGAAATTTAAGTACCAGATGCACTTGGAGAAAGCAAGCTAAACATCAGAGTTTATTTTCAATATGCAAGTGGTATAAAAATATGCAAACCCTGATGGCAGTGCTATGGAAACTGCTCCACAAAAATGTGGAACGAAAGCTGTTACTGTAAGCGTGGTTCATGTCCTGTAACAGCTGTGACAGCCCGGTGCAGCTCAGCACTTGTCCAATTAGACCAAAATATTCGAAGGGAAACTCAATTTAAATAAGCTTTGTAATAATCTTTCACATTTCCAAAGTAACCCAGGGACAAACCCTGTCCCTCCCGCCTGGGTCACCCGGACCCGCCGTTGGCCTGGGCTCAGTGGACACGTCTCTCCCCCCTCACACCGTCTCCAAAAGCATTTCTCAGGGCTTATGTTACAGTTATTTGCAGATTATTTTAGGTCTGTGTTCTTTTATATCCACTTAGCAACTTGCAGGGAATATTTCAGGAGCAGCCCATGCTTGATGTGCCCCTTTTTGGGGAGCAGGAGGACTGGGTGGGGTGGATTTAAAAGCCATTATGTATTTATGACAGATGGTTTTCAGTTTAGGCAAGAAAACCCAGATAGACAGTAGCACAGAGACAGGAATGTGGACACGTATCATTAGGCTCTTTCTGTTAATCAAATGCAAGAAATACAGTAAATTTATTTTTATACATGACCTGTACAACAAATACAGCCAATAGATATTAAATACAATAGATCTTAAAAAGAACAATTATATTTTCCCTTTAACTTTTCTGATTTGTTACAAGTTGTATCTATTTCCAAGGGTTTAAGGATACCAGCGATTAAAATCATCCTACTGCATAAATTTTAGTTATTTACCATACTTTGTAAGTATCGTGCAATGACCTTTTTCTGGCTTCATAAAATCAGTGACTTAATATAATTTAGCATCTGAGAGTGCGAGTTCCTCGATTCATTTATCATTTGATGCTGAAATTTGTTTAGTCTGGATCGAAGGCCTACTCAGCTTTTCCTACTGGCCATAGATGCTTTTTACATTGGAAACAGGGAGACCTTCGTGTCTTGTCTTTTTCTTTCAAGCTTGACCAAAAATAGTCATTAGAGACTTCATAAGTCCCCAGACTTTATAAATAAAGACTCTGGACTGACTCTGATGGGAGTT